TCGTCAACCGCTTATCCTGCGTACAGGGTCACGGGGACTGGGGAAGATTTAGTGTCATAATAGTCTTATTGGCCTGATGCCCAAAATCCTGAAGGGAGAAATCTACACAAAATACAGATTTAAATGGTCTTCTTGGAAACACCTTATACATCATAAACAATATTTCTCTTTTGTTGGCTTCTTTTATAATAGAAGGGGACAAAAGGAGCCTGAAGTGACTTGAAAGACACATGGATTGAGTGTCTCTAATTGTCTGGGAAAAAGGGTTTTAATTCGATGTTAAGGTTTAAAAAGACCCAGCAATGTCATTGTCTCTCACTGTTATAACTAATTACATGCTGTTGCTTCAGCTGCCGTCAAAGTGATAAAAAGATGCATTGTGTTTTATGGTTGAGCTGCATCCCTCCATGTCGTACGGCTGCGTACCTGATAGATCTCCACTCTCTGCTCAGAGGCCCGGGCCTGCGGGTTAGGAGCTCTGAAGATCCTGAACTCAGCCTTGACCAGGGTGCTGTTCGTCAGGTCCACTCCGCTGACATCGAAGTGGACGACTCTGTAGTGGAGGTCGGGAACTACTGGCTGAACCGCATCTGGATGAAAAAACAGAGCGTAAAGGATGACTAATGATCCAACAACATCTCATGCCTTCTTTCACAATGTTGTATTTATACTATTGGTTAAAACAGCGCTGTGATGCATTGTCTCGGACATAATTACTGCTGATGAGTGTCTTGAAACTAAATTATAGGCTTGGGTATAGTGAGTAAATGTGTCTGGTCCTATGTTTAATATATGTGTAATTGTTAATGGGTTTTCCTGTATGAAACATCACCTCCCAACTAGACAGTTGTGTAATTATATACCATTCAGCACTATTAAACTTAAAATCTCTAAAATAAGGTCCATCTAGATCTAGTTTTGTTTCTTTGTGTGAGAGCTGCCTGCGACCAACCACAGCCAGTTTGTCACTGTAAAGATGCTCTGAAGGCATCAGAGAATCGAGCACCTTGCTCAAGGGTACATCTACAGAGGCTTCCTCATTTTCCTATTGCTTCCATTTTACGGGCAACAGTAACTCCCAGAAGTGTCCTTGATTAAAAAGGCAATGGGCAATATTTCAGTATATGTATTTATCTGTGCAAATACTGTAATTAAGTGAAATTTAGGCACTGGTACTTTACCTTTACGCTTCTCTATTTTAGATGGAAATATTGTAACTTTTACTCCATTTATGGTATCGGACAGCTCCAGATATTAGAACCATTGCAGACAAAACAATTTTCACTCACTACTAGTTCTGTTTATTTCTTCTCCTAATACTCCTGTACTATTATTTTGTTACATTTTGAATGCAGGACTTGTACTTGTAAAATACTTTCTACTTGTTTTACATATTGATACTTTTACCAAATCTGATTTGAATGTGGAATAAGTGACTCATTTAAAGGAGTCACAAGTGAAAAAGGTTGGGAACCATTGTCTATATTATTTAATGTGGATCATTTCTAGTAGGATCTTCTTGGACCCCTCTGGCCCCCCTTCAGTGACCACGGACCACACAGAGAATCCCTGTCACACATCATGGACTCACTTGTATCACTGCGGGGGGGCAGCATGTCAATCCTCTGCACCTCTTTGGCATAATAGTCCTCCTCGCTACTCTCGCGCTCGCACGCGGACTCGGCCAGTCGCGCGCGCTCCTTCAGCAGCTCCCGCGTACTGTTGTAGAGCAGCACGACCTCCGGGGGCACAGAGCCAGAAGGCGGGTCCTCGTCCTCGTCCGGCGGGCTGCGGATGCGAAGCTTGCTGAGGATCTGTCCGCGGACCGCCTCGATGCGCCGGGACTTCTGCTTGTCCAGGTTGATGGACTGGCACGTGTTGAACCCCTCCACCAGCAACACACCGGAGAAGCGGAGCAGCAGCAGCAGCAGCGCGAGGCGGGGGAGCCACATTGTCCGGTGAGGACACGGAGGGACAGAGAGACTCTCTGAACGGCCAAAACAATAATGGTCACTGTGGTGCAAGTTACTGCAACTAAAGCGAGGTCTCAAAGCATGAAGAAATATGTGCGTAAACTGGTTTAAAATTTAGCACCAGAGTCTCCAAAACCTCGAATAACATAAACGACAAAAACATCCAGGATCCAGTTCTACAAGTTATTTTGGTCAAAACCACTTTCTGTGGAAAAAGAAAACCACATCTGCTGACTTTACATTTATTCTGCTATGGTAATTATATAACAATGTTCATACATGCGCCTGCATATTTTAACACCAGACGCACAAAGACGCATTGTCATTTATTCTAAAATGAAGGTACTAAATCCTAAAGGAACTACTTTTTATAGACAAAAAGCAGATCAGTAGTAGTACTAGAAAAGCTGCTTCTGTTCGCTAAGTGATATCACACTACAACCAAACTCCACTGTAAAAACCTCAAATTTAGTGATTTGAAATTTGGCAGACGCCTCGACTCTAATCCGTCGCGCTCAAAAACGCCGGGGTTGCACTGTGCCGGTGAGTGCGCGGTTTCACGTGCAAAGGTGAGGATATTTAACGGTAGCCTATAACCGAGAAGTTAGAGTTTTATCCGTCTCCGTTATCCGTCTGCCCATCCTCGGATAATTCAACAGCTTTCAGGAGAGAAATAAGCTACTCATCCTAAGAGCTCAGCCCATGTCGCAAATCCTCCGAACAAAAACCTGAGCTGCTCACTTCATCGGAAGCGGCGTGGGTCCCGTGCTTTAACCTCCGAAAGACCCATCTGTGGAGTAAAAAAATGGTCCATACCCGCTTTCAGAAAATCTAGTTACAGTTTAAAAAAACCTCACTGAGATCCTCCCATTCCCTGTTATAGGTAAACAGAGCGCAGCCTGCACTAAAACGTAGGACCTGTTGATTTATGTCGGAAAACCGTGGTGGGTCTGTTAATCCCCCTCATATAAACATCAAAACACGGAAAAAGTCAGACGACATAAAAAGACATGACGCAGAAGAATATATGAAAGAACTCCTTGTGCTGTGAATTAAAAAAAACAGGAAACTGTACAGTAAATTACAGATCCCGGGTTTAAATGAGCTCCAGCCTGATGTCTGCTGGGCTGAAAGCTCTGCTGAAAACACTTAAATCTGCTGCATGATGTGACTCCATTATTCTGCAGATCCTCTGTGAGAAATGCACAGAGCCCCAGACAGAAAGAGGTGGAGGAGGGAGGGACTGGATGTGAGAGAGGTGGTGGTGGTGGGGCGGGTTGCCACCAAAGTCAAGGGAGTGTGTGATTATGTAGGCAAGAGCCATCTTCCTCCAACCAGAGTAGGCGGGCGAACGCGCGCGCGCGCGCGCGCACACACACACACACACACACACACACAGCAATTTCTTCTCTCCACAAAAATGCTTGCTCCACCTTCTCTCCGCAGGTAAACATCCCCTGTGGACATATCAGGCATAAAGGAATAGTTGGGACATTTTGAAAAATATGCTTAATTACTTTCTTATTGAGAATTAGATGAGAAGATTGATAATTTATCCCTCTCACAGTAAATATGAAGCTATCTTAGAGCCAGCAGTCAATTAGCGAAGCTTAGCATAAACACTGGGAACAGGGGGAAACTGCTAGCATTGCCCTGTCCAAAGGTAACTAAATCCACCTCTAAAGCTCACCAATTAACATTTTAAATCTAGTTTGTAAAGAGGAGTTATGCTGTTGCCTGACACCAGTTGAGACATTTACATTTACTTTGGCAGACACTATTCTCCAAAGTGTCTTACATATGAGGGACAACATACAAGCATCAATAAAGCATCAATATAGTAAGAGATCTAAGTAAGAGCAGCAATAAATACTAGTAAGAGCTATGTGAGTGTATGGCATCAATGGGTTAAATATATTAGGAAAGAAGTAAGAGTTAACTCCAGACACCAGGAAGTTAGTGGTTCCAGCCAAGAAATAGTCCGGCACATATCTCTCCATGAAGCATAGAATTGTCGTTTTTACGCTGATTAAACAAATAAGATATGACATGTTAATTATCGGGCTTTGTTGGTGCTGGTAGGTGGATTTTGTTACCTTTGGACGGAGCCATGGCTAGCTGTTTCCAGTGTTTCTGCTAAGCTAACAAACGGTCAACTTTAGCTTGACATTTACATGACAACCAAAAAGCCAAGAAGCAATTTCCCAAAATGTCAAACTCAGCTTATCCTAATTTCAATAAATCATCCACAGCCCATCCCTTTTTATCTTTATCTTTTCCTAGTTTCCAATCTAGGCCCTTTCTTTCCCCTCTGTTCCTCTTCGGTCTCATTGTTAATTACAGCTCAGAACTTGGAGAGGACTGTTAATCTGTCAGGGGTGGCTTTTATTGCTGCTCTGCTGCCATCCCATTATACCGTTATTATAGTTGCGGGTGCAGGCCTGTAATTGCTGTAAGTAGAAGGGAAAGGTAGGAGAGACTTAGGCTGCCTTGAGGCTTCTGGTCAGGGCCCCCCCCCCCCCCTCCTTCATCATCCATCCTGGCAAGGTTTCTAAAAATGATAACACCGCCTGTGAACAGTCTCCTGTTCCAACTTGAATGGTGCTGTACCATTTTCAACAGCCACAAACTATTAAAAGTACACTTCATTTGTCTATGTGGACCTCAGCTCTCTATCTCTTCAGACACAAGATCAGACACACTGTGGGGCATCAGATCAGAGCAGCCCGCCCAGGTGGGGTGTTTTTTTTGTGTGTGTGTGTGTGTGTGTGTGTGTGTGCACGCTTTAATGTATGGCATAAAAGGAAAATAGAGACTTCCTCAAAAACAAATTCTAGCCTGCCTGCTTTTTTTGCCTCTTTTCCTCAAAGCCAAATATAGACAAGCCACTGCCACGTCATCTGGCCCTCAGCACTTTCTTAAACCCTGACAGAGGGCGAGATGGGGTTCAGAGCCTGCCTTTCATTCATGGAGCCTCATGTCTGTAATATAAGTGAATCCTATATTTTCCACAAAAACCTAAAACAATTTTGGGTCGTCATGGAAATCAGGACCGCTTTATTGAAAAAAGAAAGAGCCCAAAAAGTTACAAAAATAAATACAGATAAAACCACAGGGGGTTACTCTCGGGGAACACTTCCATCTGTTATTCTTCAAATCTTTTTTCCACCACTGGCAGCATCGGCCATTTAATGTCATAACTACAGACAACCAAACAGCATGGCCTATTTTCTCATGGCATACACTTAAACCAGTCCAGCCTCTCTTCTCTCTGAATACCCACAGTCCCATCTGAGTGACAATTTGGGGGTGAGGTTGTGTATGAGAAACACTGGTGCCATCTACACCTCATCTTCGCTCAGCAGCATGTTGGGGATTCCTCTGGAGATCGGGAACTCTCGTCCTGATTCAGGGCACTGCAGAGAGCCCTCTATCACCTCCACCTGCAACACAACCCAGAGCAGACTGGGGGTTAGGGCTGAATAATTAATCGAAATCGCAACATGGCCAGCTGCAATTTTCAATTTTTAATATTTGTTGGTGATGTGAGTGTCAAAATCTTTTCAAATTAAATATTGTTGTGCTGCAGAGATGTGCTGGCCTATGCATCATATTCTAAAGACTTATGAAAACTCCTTTTGTTTGGTATAGATCCCTGCAGAAATCATAATTCATTTTAATATATTTTTCAATGAAAATGAGATTAATGATGTAAAAATTATCACCCCCCTTGTTTCACAAATCGTATCGCAATTGCAATATCGGTCAAAATAACTACACTTATTTTGTCAAAACCGTTCAGCCTTACTGGAGGTATGGGGCCACTACTAGATGTCATGCAGAGCACACTACATCGCCAAAAGTATATGGCCACCACTGCTGCCATACTTTTGATTTGGGTGCTGGTTTGTATGGTTTGGCCTCCATCTTAATGCTAAAGCATACAATGTTTTAGACCAGTGGTTCTTAACCCCTGGACATTCGGTCCAGTATTGTTGCTGCAGTCGGCAGCAACAAAACTGGGCTGCGACGTAATCCTTGGGGGTAATTGCGCCCTGTCAAAGTATACATCCACAAAAGTACATGTTTTTGTCACTGACAGGCTCAGATTGTTATTATACAACATTTTGGAAAGGATCCGTACAGAGACAAGAGTAAGATCCTTTTTGTTTAACCAGAAACAGTCACTATATCGATCTCATTGATAAAAACTCTAATTTTTTCAGTCAAAAAACTGAATGGACACGGTGCAGTTATGAAAAACAAGACACTGTGCAGGAAACTACCACATGAAAGTGTTGTTGCTAATTACTGTTTCCTGTAATAGAAACAGGATGTCACATTGTATCTTTCCATGTTACTGTAAGAGAATGAATTGTGCAAACCAAGGCAGTCTTTCCTAAGTGTTAAAAATGGCTGCAGGCTTGTGACAACCTGTTGGTTTGAAAGAAAATAACAAATTAAAGAGCAAAAACAACAATATATTTTTTCCCCCAAAACAAGATCTTTGTAACCACAAAGAAAAGAACTAGAATGATTAGTCTAACGTTATTAATTAGTTAGTCGATCGATAGACAATTATTTGGATAATCATTAAATGTTTTAAGTCATTCAAAACATTCTCTGTTTTCAGCTTCTTCAATATGAATATATTCTGTTTTCCCTGTTTTATATGATTGTAAACTAAAAATCTTTGGGTTTTGGGCTGTTGGTCACAACAACACCAAAGCCTCTGTGAAAATGTGATGGGCATTTTTCGCTATTATAAAAGACCAAAAGATTAATCAATTAATTGAGAAAGCAATCGGCATGTTATTAACAGAAATACAACTACATACTGTAGTAATAGATACCATTAGAGTAAAAACAAAACACCCACCAGTGCTAACAGGAATGACTGTGAGCTCCTTACCTCTAATAGCACTCTGTGCACTTTCTTCAGGAACTCTTCGTCTTTCTCGTATTCTGGCACCAGCTCACCCGGCAGGTCTTGTCGATGACCCAGCTATAGAAGGAAGAGAGACAATAACAAGTGTTCAAACTGGGCAGTGGACGTTACTGGGACACAAAACAAAACAAAACGCTGACACAATAACCAGCACTAGAGCCCGACCAATAAATCGATATGAGGTAATTGCAGTTAAATTGGTATTAGTGTTTATATCTGCCGATAAATGACAATTAAAAAAGAAACGGAGAGACGGACCCTTCAGTCATGTTCAGAGTGTTGTCATTACATAGTCTGTCCACCGGAGTAGTATTTATAACAATAAAAAAAGTTTATTTTTAAACTGTGAGGTCTCATAACGACACATAACAAATGTTAGGGATGATCTTTGTTTATGTGTTTCTGAAAAGAATGAGAAAAAAAAAAAGAATATTCTGCGATTTATATCGGGATATCGGATTTTAAATTCCTCAAATATCAACTCTACTGCATACTGGGAGGTAAATTCCTAGTAGTACATTTTGTTAACCATCTGTAACTGTTGTGGAAAATTGTGGTATTCCTGGCGAGGGATTGAGCGAATAATTGATTTACAACAAACCGTTGTCTTTGAAGAATTTATTAATAAAAGAGAATAAACACAGAAGTACTGCAACACAAATCAGCTGGACCAGAGGTTCAGTAGGACAGTCACTAACAATGGCCTAGAGCAAAGGGATGCATAATCATTTGCACAGTCTTGGTTTCTATGTTTTGGGGAACAAAGATCCTATCCTTGCCTTGACTGGTCCCAGTCAAGCCCACCCCCTTACATATCTACGCCAATCAAACACAAGAAACCTGAAATGAACATAAACAACAACGAATGAACGCCCCTAATCCGTGTGTTACACGATTTTAGATAACTTGTTACAGCAGGGACCAATTTATGTGTGACACACAAAAAAAACCAACACTGATCCACTGTTAGCTACAGTCAAAAACTTATTATAGAGAGCCTAAGTCACTCGCTTCTGCTTCCGGCCCACGGGACCCTATTTCAGGAAAATAATGTACGGTAGTCAATGGCAAGAGACAACTTATCTTTTTATCCTGTTAGAATTGAGCCCTGAATTACACATATAATGTTGGTCAATTTAAATATAATTTTGCAAGTCTTTGCTATTGGCCGAACATTCAGTGCATCCCTAAATAAACCCCAAACTCTTTATTGTAATTTGTAGATATGATAGCCACAGGAGAGTTCTTTCCAAAATTCAAATTGATGCATTGTTCCAAATCTAAAGAATATCCTTAAGTATATTGGCAGATATCTAACAGATTATAAATTTTCATACATGTCTCTGTCTCTCTTGCAATGATTTGTACTACGCGTCGTGTACAAAAAGTTCAAGACAATTCAACTTCGGCAGCTGGTGGGCATGCGCATGAGGAGACCACTTCACCTCACTAAAACAGGGACACTTGCTACTGAACATAGACTGTTTATGCTGTTCCCTGATAAAAGAAAAATGTTTCTGCTGCTGATACCTGTTCAGAAAAAATATGTTAACCTGTTGCTCAGAAAGTGCCTGTTATGATGTTATGATCGTGGCTCTGGACTCTAACTTCTTTTAACAAGCTATATAAATAGCTTTGGTTTTATATTTGATTTGATTACATTAATGTTTAAGTTGAGATTTACAAGAAATATTTTATTGCTATGGTGTAAAGGGAAAACTACTTGTAAAAAAGCACCTTATTTGTTTAAAGTGTTTGCAAACCACATGTTATTGCATTTTTGTGTATATAGCAGTACATTTAAATTAAAAGTGCGCAATACACTACTTTAGAATTCATTATTAAATTTTGAGCATAACAATGTGATTAATCACGTTAATCGCAGAAAATCATGCTATTAATTGCGATTAAAAACTTTAATCATTGCCCAGCACTACCTATAATCTATCTTCTGACAGTCTGGACAGACTCTGGTACAGTCTGACTCACCCCCTCTGCAGCCTGGACCAGAGCGCTCCACTCCAGTTTGGGGATCATCCTGCTGACAAACTGAGGGTTGAATTCCACCTCATTCATCTTCACCTCAGTTGCCTGCATAAAGAAATAGCAGGAGGAAACAACACAGTCTATTAGTGTGGACATTCCTACACTAAGTCCTTGCCAACACATTATGACTGGGTTCAAAAATCACTACCTCTGCCACTTGTTTCCATAGACATAAGACATCTAATAGTTGAAGTTGAAGAGTCTACAGTGAATTACAGCAGCAACAATTAATTGATTAGTTGTCTACTATTTATTTATTGGCCAACTATTTTGACTAGTCTGAGTAATTTTAGAAAAAAAGTAAAAATTCTCTGATTTCAACTTCTTAAATATTAATATTTTCTGTTTTTTTCTTCCTCTGACAGCAAACTGAATATCTCTGGGTTGTGGACAAAACACGACATTTGAGGATGACATGTTGGACTTTAGGAAACAGTGATTGACCCTTTTCACCATTTTCATTTTATAGACCAAACAACTAATCGATTACTAGATAAAATAAATCGACAATGAAAATACTGTTAGTTGCAGCCCTACAGTGAAGTGACTTTTTTGAGACAATATTATTCATCACGGATATGTGGAGTAAAGTGTCACACGTGTAATTTACACATCTATCAAATTCAAAGCATTGTCTTTTAGGATGTTTAGTAAAAACTGTAGCGTACGTAGGTTTTCTCATTCCATTGTGAGACGTTTTGAGCGCATTTGTGTGTCACATTCTTCATTCAGAAACTCGAATCAAAATGGCAAGAGTGTAAACATATTGCACTACGTAGCAAATAGTGTGTTAGTTTGAACGCAGAAGTTTCAAAATATAACGTTACATGATATTAATTCAAATTATATTTTGTGTGGCCAATAGCACAGCAAGATAGGTTTCTTTCCTGTCGCTAGCTTGCTGACATCTAGTTAGTTAGCTAGTTGTAAGATAATCTCTTCCAAACAAACAACATGTTCAAAGCTACAAGAGATATTTGGTATCGGTTAGCTCCCCACATAAAGCACAGGACTGTATGATGCTGTAAGTCAGTTAGCTTTAGCTTTGATGCTAGTTTACCTTGATGAGCAGCGGGTATCCTTTGGTGACTCCCTTCACGTGAGACGTCAACATGTTGTGCGTTAACAGCTTCATGTTTAGGGACGCTGAAAAGTCAGAGTAAACTGTATCTGGTTCAATGTAGACAGGTAATTACAAGCACTCGTCTGCATGTAAATCAGACGTTTACATGTGGACCGGAAGTACCCCTGTTGCATCCGCTAAAAAGTTCCCCGACACTTTTTCTCCACTACCGTTGGTTTTCTGCTTAAAGCCCAAATTTAGCTTGTTTAAATATCGATATTTATCTTTCTATTAGTCCCCTTTAACGCAACCCACTCTGTAAAAGAAAATCATCAAACATTAAAGTCCTTATCGGCTAAAATGTCTCTGGTATTATTTTACTTTAGTTACACTCCACCACTAACCATAACAAAATATGAGATTAGAAACAAAGATGGCGTTCAGTTTTTATACTCAAATTTTTAATTTTTTGTATTAATTTTGTATACACCTTATCTTTGTATAATACAGGTAATTCGTACAGTTTATGATATAGTAAATAGTAATTACACATGAGGTGTAACAAGCATCAACCTGCCACCTTCACAGACATGCATCATGTGCGCACACAAAAACACGCTCTCATTCACACACACACACACACACACACACACACACGGACACACATCCCTTGCACTTATTAAACAAAAAAAGATAAAAATGTAAAACTTTTTTTGAACCACAAAACGCTCCAATATTTCATCCTCCATTGTCACCAGGATTCACATCATCTCAACCTTTCTTTTGAAAACGAGTATGACAATACTTATGTTTTAACAAAATAAAAAACAAAACAAAAAATGCAGGAAGGCAACTAAAGAAGTGGGAAAAGCAATTCTGGAGACAGTAGGTTAATTCAAATCGCAGTCTTTAACTCTTCATGGAAACATAAGCACAAATGAGCTGCAGGTACAAGAACCACTGGCTGACACCTGGAAATTTTAAAGTGAGTTACAGACGACTGATGTCCAGCTTGACTTTGTGAAGCTTTAACAGAATCCAAAAGTTTCGTGTGATCCGGTGTGTCTATTCAGTCAGGAAACTCGTCCACAGTCCGGTGTGTATCAATTTAAACCAGTGTGTGTTAAACTTATAGTAGGGACGGTGCAGGATTGAGGGAGGCAACACAAACTAGTTAGAAAGGGCACTCTGTAAGATTTATGGCACAAACAACAGCACTGAGAGAAGCAAGTGCATAGCGGGCCAAAGCTGAACGAATGACATTGCCTTGTGTTGTGAAGTCGGGTGAAAACCATCTGCTCTGGGGGGAGTTAGCAAAGGACACTTTACTAAAATATTCTCCCCTTCTCCACTATGAGCATCACTGGACAACAAGTGGACCAAAACTCCGGTTTCTGGTGATCGATGAATTAGAACACAGAGCAGGGGTTTCTGTTCATCTACGTCTCTCGTCTTTCGAAGAAAGCTGAAACATGTTGGTCTCACAATAAAGTTGTTCTTTATATTTTAACTTAGAAGAAGGTGGAAAGGTGCCAGGAATCCCTATTTTAAATTAGACTACAGTTTAAAGCAGCACAATTCAGAGTACATGAAGTGCTCACAACCTGTGTCTTTCTTCTGAACAAGGAAACCTTGAGAGTGATGGTGATATGTTCACACAGACAGTAAGGAGAATCTGCAGACTAGTGTACTACTGAGAGGAGGATATATGAGAGCTCTTGCAGAATGCATAACAGGATGACTAATCTGTTAAAGTCCATGTATGATGGTGCCACATAAAACACTGGGTGTCAGTAACTGCAGTAGTCATTAGTCTTTGCTTTTGCATTGGAGCACACACTGACTCTTATTAGTCCATACACACATGCAAATACACATTCAGTCCTGTGATTCACTCCTTTAGCCGAGACTTTCCCAAATTATAATATCTCTCTCTCACACACACACACACACACACACTTTCTCTCAGACAGACAAAAAAAGAAGATGTTGTCATTCTTGGCCGTCCTCCGTGCGCCACTTCAGGAAATCCTCCTTCCGGGCGTCAGGTTTGATCTGGTTCCGCATGCCACCAAGCAGATTGGAGGTGGCTTCGGAGGCCACTATTAAAGGTCGGACCACAGTGGGTGGGATCTGCCGCAGTACACCGCCCACAGCACCGGGCAGGCCTTTCTGTTCATGGCCACGGGATGCTACATCGCACAAGGTCTGAGCCGTGTCAATCACTCCCTGTAGAGCAAAGAGAGGCCAGAGATTCAAATATTTAGTGTTTCAGTACATTTATATGCACACAAACCAGGCTACTAGTTAATTATGAAATCAGGCTATGCAGGAAATTAATTGATTAACTGTCTATAAAATGTCAGAAAACAGTTCTCAGAGGCCATGGTGACGATTTCAAATAGCTTTTTTTGGCCAAACAAAGCTCAATATCCAATGAAAAACAGAAGAGAAAGATAAGCAGGTCATTGCTACATATGAGAGCCTGGAAGCCTCAAACTTGGGGCATTTTAGCCGTAAAAATGACTCGTGCTATTAATCAACTGTCAAAATGATTGCAAATGCATTTTCTATTGATCGATTGATTCCTCGAGTAATAATTTCAGCTCCAGATCTGACAACCTGTTGCAGCAACATGCATTATGTATACCTACATAACACCTTGTACCCTGCCACACTGTCACAGCGATAGCTCATAGCAATATTTGTTTCAACTCTATTTGCAGAATGAAGACGATGTGGTTAAAAGTTCATCTGCAGGCGGACCTTTAGGTTCAGATTCTCTTCCCTTTGTGTTGTTTCCAAATACAAATCTATGCACGGATTAGAAACCTGCTAATGTGTGATCAAGAAACTGCTTTCTTTAGGAGAAATTTAGCCGCGGAAATCTGGTTTCTCTAACCTCCAACCGCGATCATCATAATCAGATTACAACAGCAAGTCAGCAGAACATTTGGTCAAGACTGTGAGAAGCTGAAAGGTGAATTTTGGTTTCTCTGTTCTCCAGAAGAAGAAGGTTCCATTATCAATTTTGAGAGGGAAAGTTCGGGGACGCACCTCTCTGACAGTGTCGTAGGCCTTGGCAACTCCTTCTCGGAGGTCTGCGGGCTGAGCAGCTCTGCGGGGCCGGCTAGAGGGGGCCCGGCCTTCTGTAATGGCATACCGGTTCAGGGGGGGAGTTGGAGACAGTATATCGTACACAGTCTCTGCTGTGGCCTGTAAAAAAAAAACAAAACAGACAGACATGAAACACCTGAGGCCCTATTCTAAATTCAACAACTCTGAACTACCTGAAACAAAATGTCGAAATCGAAATGTAGCTCCTCTATAACAATAATTCCCAGTCATGACCTGCACTGAACATCCCCTACAGACAAAGTACCTGTATGGCCTGCACCAGCCTGTTGCTGAGCTCCAGGGCAGCTGATGCTGTGGAGGTGCCAAAAGATGCTGCCCCCCTCTGGAGACCTCGAATAATGCGGCCGTCCTTCCTGTACTGCTCTATGGGCAACCAGAACAGATCCCTCACTCCGTGGACTGGAGAAACACACAGAGATGGAAAGAGGGCAAAAGGGAATGAGCCAAAAGATAAAACAGAATAAAGAACATGCAAATGTTAAGCTGACAGACAGACACAAGCAGTATCAACTCACACAGCTGGACAACCGAGTGCATGGGGCCAACACCTCCCAGAATACCCGGCAGCTGATTCTTCCTGATGTCAGAAAGCCACTCTGTGACGGCGTACTGAATCACTTTATCTACACCGAGGAGACTGGAAAGTGTTGCAGAAGAAAGACTAAGAAACTGAAAACTTAACTGGTGTAACATGGTGATATAGTCTCAAAAAGTCACAAGCCACTAAGCAGATTTGGGACTTTCTCGGATGACAGAAACATATCTCAAGCAACCAATGAGATGTCTGTGTTGGTGTGTATTTTTACCCGTGTCTGCAGCAGAGCCTCTTCAGCTTCAACTCAGAACAGTTTAACTGGGCCAGACCGATCAGAATCCCTGCAAACGTTCCCTGTGAAACAAAGAGCAGGACAGGAGAGGTGTGAAATTACAGTCAGCCTTACTTCCTGATTAAATACACAGAAATCCTACAGAATTCTTTATTTTACACGTTTGGTCAGGCTGACTGATGGACGAGCTGTGACTGCTCACCTGTTCAATGACCACATGTTTGCCATGATAGTCCAGCCAGATAGGCACTTCAGAGGTGAATCGGAACTCCCTGACAAGGACAGAGGGAAGGAATTGAAAAATGATCAATCAATAATTTAAACCTTTATTCATCTTAGTTCACTCGCTCTTATTTTAGCAGTGTTCTGCTTTCTTACCCTTTAGGCTGAATTGATGCCTAAATTTTGACATATTTGATCTTGTGTCTTCACAACTCAACTGCTTTGATGCCTTCTGGTGAATCAGTGTTTACATACCGGAAGTAGATCGGCTGGTCAGAAGACGAGGTGGAGCCGGCAGAGGAGGAGCTCTGCTCGCTGTAGGTAGTTTCCACAGAAGCAGTGAGGTCCAGTCCCAGACCAGCAGCTGACTCTGCCTCCTCAGACCCCTTCTGGGAAGGGTCTGCCTTCACTGGGAAAAAAAAAAAAAAAAAAAACATTCACCAGTATGTCTTAAAATAAATATAGGATCAAATGTTAAACATTCTCAAAATTGGCTTGAGAAATTATTTAAACATGTTCTGCAGTCAGTGAAAATTAATCTTAAGTATGAAAGACTACTGATGAATTATGCAGAATAAAAATATCATCAGACGTAGCTCACCTTCGGTTGCAGGGTCCACAGGCAGGTAAGGGTTAACAAAGGAAGCTAGATTACTGAAAAAGTCCTTCAGGAAAAACAGTGCGTCCTGGTCAGGAGACAGAAAAAAAAGGTGGGTTAGATGTGGAGAGGAGCAGCCCAAACTACTGCAGATCTGAATGCTCTACTCGGCCACTTCTAGGTGTCCTGTACTGGATTACACCAGCTGTTAGTATTCAGCCTCAGGAGCTGGAGTTACCTGGTCAATGTTAAGTCGTAGCGGCAGCAGGCTGACCCGGAGGCAGCACTCTGGACCACCGAGGCCAGACTCTGGACACACTTGGAGGGCCTTCACTGTGAGCTACAAAAAGTAAACACACAGTCCATCTAATTTACATGACACAATTAATATTTTGTCACTTTTATCAAGC